AACCTCTGATATTGTTATCAATCTAACCACATTCTAGTGTGTTCATCGCTTTGTTTCACCCACTCTCTTTGCAATTGTTGTAGAAAGGGTCTCTCTACTAGTGATTAACCTCTTCAACAAAATGTAGTGAGATGCAAATTGGGTTTTTGCAATCTTCAAAAGCTCTAACTTTGAATTGTCCCTAAATATAGTCAAAGGTTGTCCATGATTTATAAAAATATTTGACAATCATTTTCTCCTTTTTATGTGTCTTCTAACCAAATGAACTCACTTGAAAAGTCATTAAAAACCATGTTCAAGGTATGAACATAACATGTTGACCAAAAAATATTCTTGTATATACCTTTTCGACTTCTTTTCCCGCAACTTTACAATTGGTGGCACTATCCGTCAAAACACTGAGAACATTACTTGGGCTTAAGAGAAACAATGTCATTGCTAAGGAAATCAACAATTGATTTACATGTTTTCTCTACCCTAGAAAAGTCAATGGCATACATGTACATAGAACCTCGATTGTTAACAGCAAGAACACTAAGCAATGGTTTATGTTTGATATTTAACCACCCATTGGATACTACAAAAAACACCATATGAATAACATGTATCTTTATAGGTAGAATTTAGAAGTAGTTTAGAAGTATGGTAGATTTGTTGTTTCAAATAATAATAATATGTACCTTTAAAAATGTCAAGTCATTCTCAACATCTCTCACACATTCATCTAGTAGAACAGTTCTTGCTTTCTCACTAGATAAAGCTTTAGAACCTCCAGATGCCTTTCTTAATTCATTTACCATTTCACAAAATTGTGGATTACACAAAACATTAAATTAAATCCCATTTACACATAAAGCCCTCATAATTGTAAATCAACCACAATTCTCTCAATTATGGCAAAAGATTTCTCTATTGGTTTGTTAGAGCTCAAATTATGTTTATTTGTAAAAACGGAATTTTTTAGGGATTTAGATACTCCTTCCTTTTCGGTCTATTCTTTTGCAACACTTCATAAGTGTCTCGGTCTTTCATTACAACGGGAGACCTTTTAATTTAAGCTTTTTTTCTGAGTTCTGCACAAACAAAGTGAACGTAAATTCAATTGTATGAGCTAGTAAATATTCCATGGCAATGTTTACAAACTCATTTGATTCCAGCTTGGAATCAACGAATTCGAGTTAAACGATGTACAATTCCAGTTCATCGATCCCATTTGATTCGAATTTATAGTTCGTGTATCGGAATCCATGAATTCCTGTATAGAAATCAACGGAATTGTCGCAATCAAATTTTGGGAACATCAATTTCATCTTTGGAAACACAATCCCGAGGGAACCCGATACACATACATATCGCGTTTTGATACGATTGATCATGTATAGAAAATGTGGCTATCCCAACAAATTATGTGACTACGATATAAATTTCAAGGAATTGGTTGAGATTTTTGCTAATCGTTCCAACTTATTTGTAGGCTTTGTTGTCAATTGTAAAATACGAACACTATCAACTCAAATTCGATCATCCAAAGGATAATCAAATTCAAATCCATCTAAATCACATTACATTTAATCAAATATTCTCTTGAATAAATGATATAGCTTGAATGTATGTTATTGGACCTCAAGATGAAATAGGAAGAAAGTTGCATATTTGTACCTTAGTCACAAAAGCTTTCATGGTGGAGGCATCAATATAATGAAGCAAAACTCCATGTTGGAGGGAAAGGTAATGTTACATCATGTTTGAAGCTTCCAAAAGATGCCAAGTTTGCAATGTGTTACGCAAGCAAATACACAAGGAAAAAGAAAAAGAGAAATTTAGTGATATGTATGCTTGATGACACTTTAGGAATGAATGTAGAAAACATGAATTACGATGATGAACTTCAAATGCTCAACCCACAAACAACTCAAATAAAAGATAGAAAGAGAATGTTCATCTTAAGTTTCAATTACATATTTCCCAACTATATCAGTTTTGAGGGGTTTGGCATCATAATAGAACTACTACAGGCACAAAAACCTTCTTTATGTTTACTATTTGATGATCTTTCTAGACTAGTCCTACACATAGTCACAGAAATCGCTAGGGTAAGCACGATCTGCGATCCAAGTCGTTCGTACCAAAATGCGGTACGAACGTGTACCATGTACGCTCCGGGTCGCGACACAAAACCATAAATTGACGTTCCAGATCTTCAATTCGAACGTACCAGATGCTATAGCAATCGCAATTTGCCTAATTACAATACGCGTTTGCAATCAATTAGAAACATGGATCGGAAGTTCAAGAGTCGATCGACTCAAGAACGTTTTTTTGTAACTGAATAATTAACTAGCGACTTTTCAAATTGAATTCATATTCTGTAATTAGGCCTATATTAGACTTCCATTCCATGGTATTTTTCATTCAATTGTATTCCAGGACATCAAATTTCAAATTTTATAGTTTGGTTATTGATCTTGAATACCGATTATCGATTATAGTTATAGATTATAGTAACAGTAAAGAGTAGACTTACTGTATCATGGTTTTTGGAAAATAAAGAGGGACTAATAGCTGGGAGGAAGATGATGGAGGACAACAATCAGAGTCACAACAATACCTGGAGGAAGAAGATCATTATGTTGATCTTAGCAATGAAGACAACGAGAATCAACAATCAAAAGCTCATACAACTCGTGGGAGTCAAGGTACACAACCAAAAACACAAAGTGTAGATGCTAAGCCTTTATATGATGAAGTTACTTTTATTAGTGCTGGTAGTAGTAAAAATCCTGGTGGTTCTAGAAAATGGGTTTGTAAACATTGTCATGGAGCATTTACTAAGTCGTATATCCGCATTTATACTCATTTTTTTAGTACTCAACTCGGAAAAAAAAATAAAAAAAATAAAAAATAAAAAAAATTTAAATTAAAAGATGTCTCGTTATACAAAAAGACCGAGAAACTTATGAAAGGTTGCAAAAGAAAGTGAAAGAGGTTGAAAAGTTTGGAGTCTCTAAATCCCTAAGAAGTTCTTTTTTAACAAAAAAAAAACCAACTTTGAGCTCTAAGAAACAGATAGAGCAATCTTTTGCATTAATGGAGAAAAGTGCAGTTGATTTGAAATTGTGAGGGCCTTATGTGCTAATGGGATTCCATTTAATGTTTTGCGGAATCCTCAATTCCGCGACATGGTAAACGCAATAAGAAAGGCACCCGAAGGTTATAAAGCGTCATCAAGTGAGAAAGCAAGAACTGTTTTACTAGACGAATGTGTTAGAGATGTTGAGAAATACTTGATACCGTTTAAAAAACATGGTATTCACACGCTATTTCTATTGTATCTGATGGGTGGTATTCACATGCTATTTCTATTGTATCTGATGGGTGGTATTCACACGCTATTTCTATTGTATCTGATGGGTGGTCAAACATAAAACATAAACCATTGCTCAATGTGCTTGTAAACAGTCGAAGTTCTATGTTTATGTATGTCACTGACTTTTCTAGAGTGGAGAAAACAGGTAAAGTAATTGCTCAATTTCCAAGCCAAGCAATTGATTATGTTGCCCCAAGTAATGTTCTCAATGTTGTAAAAGACAATGCCGCCAATTGTAAAGCTGCTGGAAAGGAAGTCGAAAACATGTACAAACATATTTTTCGGTCGCCATGTTGTGTTCATACCTTAAACCTGGTTTTTAAAGATTTTGAAAGCGTATTTATTTGGTTACACGACAAATATAAAAAGGGGAAAACGATTGTCAAATATTTTTTGAATCATGGACACGCTTTGTCCATTTTTAGGGAGACTTCAAAGTTGGAGCTTTTAAAGGTTGCAAAAACCCGATTTGCTTCTCAATATGTTTTGTTGAAGAGGTTATTCATTTGTAGAGAGGCACTATCTACAACAATTGCTCGTAATTCGTGGAGAGATTGGGTGAAACACGGCGATGAACATACTAGAACAACTTACTGGACAACTTGTTGTTAATCATATAAGAGATGAAGACTTTTGGGTCGAAGTTGAAAATATTTTACGCATCACGAAGCCAATTTATCGGTTGATCAAATTTTGTGACGGTGAAGGCCCGAAAATGGGCGAAATTTATGAAAAGATGGATAATATGTTGGAGGAATACAAGATGTGATGAAGGAAAATATGTATGCGTCGTATTTCCCTCAAGTGCAACAAATTGTATTGATTGTATTGAACAGGTGGGAGAAAATGAGCATCCCGTTACATTGTTTAGGATTCGCTTTAACTCCTCGGTTTTACGATAGCCGCTATCTTGAAATATTAGCACCGGGTGGAACTTGTAGAAAAGCACCAAACCTTGATAAAGAAGTTATACAATGTGTAATGGAAGCATTTAATCGCATTTCTTAAAACAGAGACGAAGAATGATTGTTGCAAGAACAATTTGCCACATTTAACATGAAGAAGGGTCTTTATTCTCTGCCGGCAGCTCAAATGGATGCGGTGGTCTACTTATGGCGCGGAAACACAGGAGTTAGCTGATGTGGCAAAAAAAGTATTGTCACAACCTATAAGTATCTCTTCAGTCGAAAAAAACTAAAGCACTTACTCCTATATTCACACTGTGAAGAGAAACCAGCTAAGTTGTAAAAGGGCGGACAAACTTATTTTTATACCTTCAAATCTTCGTTTGAGTTCAAGGTTTACCGAATAATATAAAGAAGGGTCACACAAAAAGTAGGATATAGATCCCGAATCTACAGAATTGGAAGGATCGATGCTAGAAGACATAGAATGGGAAGATCTCGAGAAGACAAAGATAATGGCAATGGAAAAAAACAAAGGGTGGAGTAGTGGATTAAGTTAAATGTTTGAGTTTTAAGTTTTAAGTTTATTTTTTTTTGTTTTGACTGTTGATGTAATCTGTTTTGAATTTTTAATGTTTGTTTGATTGCAAGTTTTAAGTTTATAAGTTTTGGCACCACAATATTTGGTACATCTAACCAGAGCGTCTAGAAGCATACCCCCCCCCCCCCCCTAAATAAAAATGAAATCCAAGCATTGAAAGAGGTGAAGAAACAAGAACAACAAGAACCTGAGAAGTAAAGCCATAACGAACACATACGTGATTTCTATGTTACACAGGCAAACAGCATTGTAATCTTGAACATAAACAAGCTTCACCTGCAGAATGTAAGAAAAACACAAAGACATCTTGAAAAAATACATAAAAAATAACAAAGTGCTTCCATTTATCTGTGAATTATGCAGAATGTAAGATCAAACTGGCAATTAAGCTCCAAATGTTGAGAATAAACTTCAATAAACTATTGTAGCTCACCTAATAGTGTGGATTTTACAGCTTCTTTCGCAGGATATACACATCACTCTCTTCATACGCATATTCTGGGTGTAGATGATCATGTGGCACTTTTTCAACATCAAAAATCCGATTACATTGCTCCCAGAACAACAAATGAGCTTCAGGCGACCTCACTTGATACCCTAAAAGCACAACCCCTGTATCACTAACCATCGACTCCATCGCCGCCAGTAGCGGCGCTACCGATTCCTCTATATACACCACATCAGCAGCGATTACGATGTCAAAAGGCGGTTTTAGGGCTTTGATTTGGTCCGAATTAGTCCAATGGAGTTGCGCCGTTTTTAACATCTTACCTAACACAGGCTTGTTGCGTTTCAAATTGTGTTTCAGTGCCGGCATGACGGGTGCGATGTCGGTAAGGACGACGTCTTTGAGGCCGAGAAGGTACAGACCCATGGCGGCTACACCACAACCGGTGCCGAGTTCAACGGCGCGTTTGTTTGGGAAGTGAAGAAGGGTTGCGTAGGGGTTGTCGGTGGTGGAAGTGGAAGAGAGCCACCGCTCGGCGAATTTGACGAGGACGAGTGAACAAGGCCAGACGGTGGTTCCGACGTGCATTGAGCCATTGTCTTGGTGAAAGGAAAGCTTTGAGTTGTTGACTGTGAGATCGATCACCGGTGAATCTGTGAAACGCATTGTGCCCTTTCCGACCTTTTTTTTATTCACTCTCCTCCTCGGCTGTGTGAGTTTATCGTTTATGTATTGTTAACATTGGGCTTTTTCACAAAGAAGCCCAACTTAAAAATCTAGACCCTAATACACAATGATATTCAAACAAAATTTAAATTTGTGACATTTAATCACTAAAATGTGAAAAATTATAAATTATATCAATTGTTTTTTCTTGGGCACGTATAATTTGATTTTTTTCTATTGTGTTACTGCAATCGGATAAAATCAGTTTTACTGGTTTTGTGCCTACCTATTAATGTGGCAGCAATATGACATCCTACTTGACTATATAAGTATGAACAACATCCTACTTGGATCACTTGACCCATCTAATTTATTTTTTCCTACAAGGCTATCAAGAGTGCTCCTATTTGACCACTCCAAAAGTTGTCAACTAATCATCACAGTCATTATATACTTAAACCATCTCCAATTTATTTCCATTTTTTCCCTCATAAATGGAATAAATGTTTCATCTTCAACTCTACTTCATTTTCTACCCCATTTTTTACCCCAAAAAGTATATTACTAGAATATTCCATTTTTATAACTTATATATATATATATATATATATATATATATATATATTATCAAATACACTCATCTACTAATTAAACTCTATTTATGATTAATCAATATAAATTAGTATATAACATGATATTATAAATATTAAATATTACATTTAAATTATAATTAGTAGATAAAATAAATTAGAAATGTATAAAATAAAGATAAGAGGGATTAAAATTGGCATCTAAACTTCACCTCCATTTTTGGAGATATTAATAGTATTCCCCCATATGGGGGAATACTATTAATATCTCCAAAAATGGAGTTGAAAATGAGGTAGGGTTGGAAAAGAATGGGGAAAGAAATTGGGGAATAAATGGAGTTTGGGGGTGGGTTGGAGATGCTCTTAGGGCAATATCACTTTTATTTTGTTTTTGCTTAATGTTTTAATATGGGGGAATACTATTAATATTTCCAAAAATGGAGTTGAAAATGAGGTAGGGTTGGAGAAGAATGGGGAAAGAAATTGGGGAATAAATGGAGTTTGGGGGTGGGTTCGACATGCTCTTAGGGCAATATCACTTTTATTTTGTTTTTGCTTAATGTTTTAATATCTTACACATGTAAAGGAGAGGAAAATAAGAAGAAAAGAGAGATAGATAAAAGAGGTGGTCAAGTGTGATTCTTACCGCAATCAACCGCAACCACTTCCCTTCATATACATGATGGTGGTGTTTACATCCATAACGCCCCCCATCACTCCAAATAATCTAAAAGGTTATATAAAAATATAAATTGTGATTTAATTAAAATATTTGAACGAACTACCTTAAACCACTTTAATGTTTTTGACAAAAAAAAAAGTATAAATTAAGATGTCTAAAGCCTATATTTTATATTTTAATAGGAAACTACTCAATTAATTTAAGATATAATCTAATAAAAAAATAGCGCAATACAAGATAAAAATAACTAAAGGGAACAAAGTGTGTGTGTGTATATATATATATATATATATATATATATATATATATATATATATATATATATTTGCATTTTCACCACGTCATTTCTTCTCTCGCTTTAAACAGCATAGGCATACGAACTGGTGTAGGATCCATAAATGAGTTCAATGCCTAAAGAAATCATGATTATAACGTTCAATTAAATGAAATGAATTACCGATAAGGTAAATAATATTTCAGTCTATTTTATTAAAAGTAAGTAGCTTAATTACAACTCAATGTAAGAACTCGCAAAAAGACTTACTCTTACCGCTAACTACATCCCTATTTATAGGAAATAATAAGGGAGTCGGTTAGGAAGATAACCAATAAATTTATGACACATAGACAATGACACGAGACATTAACTAAGAAGAAAAGTCACTGTGAAACTATAAGTGTACTAAATTCTGAAAAAGACATATTATCAAAATATTACAATGAAGACAAGATATTACATTTAAACCTTTCACAATAGACAAAGACACAACATAATACATGATTATGGGACCTAACATTCTCCCCTTTTGTGTCGAGTCTACAAAAATAGTCTTCATGCACTTTTATCAAATATTTTAAGGAGCATAGCCAAGCAATAAAGTTTGAACCGTAATCCACCACTTCAACACGTCGAATACACTCTTCACTTCTTCCTTTGAATTGTTCTTACAAAGCTCAATCTTAGTAACGATTACATTTAAAGTTTTGTTTTGTACCAATGCTTGTTTTGTATATAAAAACATTTGATTCTCGTTGTAACATTTAGAGTTTTGTTTAATACAATCAAAACACCAATTATCTTTTATTCAATCATTTAAAATTATTTCATAATAAAACAGTCATCAGAGTACAATCTCAAAATCATCACAATGCGGAAACATGGGTAAATGCATTGCGATCATGTCGGGCCCTTCCCTTTCAAACCAGAAGTACCTGAAACTATAACCATAAAAACTGTAAGCACAAAGCTTATTGAGTTTTCCAATATATTGCATATCATACACACCATTAGGTCTAGCCCTCACATTCGGCCTAGCAAGCATATTAGGCCCAACCCATCATAATGGGCCTAGCCCGATCGAACAAATGCAAAAGTCACAAAGACAATTAGCACCTCCACAACATACAATAGTCCTAGCCCTTCCTGATCCATGGACCTAGCCCTACATACTAATATGCCTAGACCGTCATACAATGGGCCTAGCCCAACATTCAAATAGGCCTAGCCCGACATTCTATGCAAAAGTCACATAGACATCTAACATATCAAAACCTAGTGGGTCGGCATTGGTGCCTTCGACCCACAAGAACAGTAAGGAGACTCACCTCTACTGATGATAACTGAAACAACAGTTGATCCGCAGCGAACAGTGTTCCTCACGCTAAACCAAAACCAAAAACAAACACAATCAATAATTAGGGTTTAACCCAAACCCATGGTTAAGTCCATTCCTCATCATGATGAGGCAAAAGACCATTTTTCCCTTCATATATAAGCCCAACTAAACTAAGCCCAAAACTCCTAATATCCCAAGGCCCAAAATCAATCCATTGTGCTTCTGCTGAGAACGCGTGGCTTTCCACCCTATGACACCTGGCATCCGAATGTTGGGCGTTCCCATGAAAACACCTGATGTTTGCTCACTAATTACCAACTTCCAAACCAATGTCTTAATGGCTTCATATCTCATGTCCAAATTTCTGATCCAATCATAATGGAACGTCTAAAGCCATAAAGTTGCAAACTTTATAGCCATGCATGGCTACAATGAGCCCAACACCAAGATGCTAACTCAAAATCAACTTTAAGGCTCAAAAGCACTTGCATGGAAGATTATGAAGACCCAAGATTACATTTTTATAATTATAGACTCACTATTATGCTTGGAAGGACAGTCCATACATCTGGAGCATTCCAAACTCACAAAGATCAAGTCTTTGGGACCAAAAAGAAGATAAATGTCACACCCTAAAACCGGAATGGCGTAAACGTTCTGGGGTGGATGACGTCATGTCAAGTATCACAACATATGCAGTATAGTAATCAAAGTACAAAAACTATTGCATAAATAGTAATAATTTTACATAGTTTTCATTACATAGAAACATCAAAGTAATACAGAAACTAATATAGTTGCAGCTCGGTTCTAGGCTGGCTTCTCAAAAGCTCCCGAGATGTACCTGTCTATTGCTGACCTGAGAATACAAGTTATTTTGAAAGCGAGTATCAACATTTTTATAAATGCTGGTGAGTTCATAAGTAGTTAGTGTCATTTATGTAAGTAAACATTTTATTTAAAATAACTTTAAGATAAGTAGTAGTTTAGAATCTACAGTGTATTAATGTCCTTTCCAGAAATCCTATATTTTCTAAATAAAAGCACTCTTCTACCAAGACTCAACGGAATTTTGTTTTAAAGAGTAAATTTCCCTGAAATACTATCATTACCAAAATACAGTATTTGATTTTAAAGAAAGTAGGAGAATATCACGAGTAAAGACATTAGGGAAAATAACATATGCCTCAACAGAGAATACTGTTGACTAAGGCAAAAGAAATCATAGACTCCAGGAGAGTATCGAATGAATGATACGCCTAGCCCAGTCTAACAAAAAGAAACATAGACCCCAAACGGTATCAAATGATGGATACGGCTAGCAAGGTCTAAAACAAAGAAACACAGACCCCAGACAGTATCAAATGAACGATACAGCTAGCAAGGTTTATAATAAAGAGTGAATGTGAACTCGTATGTAACCATGTTGATCGATGATATAGTATCTGATGACCCTCCGGGTCACGTGTAGAGGTAGTGGTAGTAGTAGTAGTGGCTTTATGTCACCCATAGGCCTTACCGGCGTGGACTGTAGCTAGTAGTCAGGGTGTGGGAGTGTCAGTCTCGTATAGATCTATACACATGATGTTCTCTCTCCCTCCCAGAGACTCTGGTTACACGGAGTTGGCGCAATGAAGCGTCGTAGAGGGAAATAGTGTGTTACATTCTAAAGTAAGAGAGAGAGGGAGGGAGAGTGTGTGTGTGTGTGTGTGAGAGAGAGTGAGATACAGAGAGATAGAGTGAGAGATAGAGAGAGATAGAGTGTGAGATAGAGTCTCCTAACTATTCCTATAATAGTTACTAGGGTTCCAGGAACATGAATAATAGAGGGAGGCCTTTACTACTCAAGGCGTTGTACTGGCTGAGAGCGAGCGAGCGAGAGAGAGAGAGAGAGAGAGAGAGAGAGAGAGAGAAAGAGCTTTTATATCCATATATGTATACATGATATATAACTAATGGTTAAACGACCTTCGGACGAATATCCGATATCCACCAGACCACATCCCAACGAGGAAAAGGAAATAGGGCGAACTAGCCTTCCTAAGTCTTTTAAACATTATTTATATAACTATAAAAATACAGGCATGCATTTAACGAAGTAAAAGCATATAA